TTTAATTCACCATTTCATTCATTGGCAGATGAATGAAATGGCTGTTCATATTCTTCATTGATTTGTTTTTATTCTTTTTTAGTTCATTTTCAATTAATCAAGATTGAATCATTTCATTTCAATTACTATGATTTGTTTTGGTGTGAAACGTTTTGGATATTGTTTTCCACAAAGTGCATTTTCAATTCCTTTATATTCAAATGAATTTTGTCTATAACATGATTTTGTTTTATTATTTTCTTTACACATAAAAATATCACTTCCATATTTTCCAAATCCAAACAAATAATCATCTGATTGATTATATAACTTAAATGCATATTTTGGTTGTTTAATATCAAATTTCTTCATTCCTTTCATTCTTCCATTTGATTCTAATGAAAATACAAATGATTGTGAATCATTTATATAACTTTCAACTTTATCAATTTTAGAATTAACATATCCTCCAAATTTATTTCCATCTTCATCTTCAATAATAATTATTATATGTTCTTTGTTCATTATTCTTTCTCTAAATACTGATGTACCAACTTTCCAATCATCAATATCTGAATCAAATAGTAGATTTCCTACTTTTCTATTTGTCCATTTTTCTATTTGATGAATTTCTTCAATTGTACTCATTCCTTTCATTATTCTCAATCTCTCTCCTCTTCTTGTTTCTTTCTTTCTTTTGCTTCCTCTTCTTCTCTCTTCTTCCTTGAGAAATAATCACTGTATTGCTTTTCCCATTCTTCTTTCTTCTTATTAAATTCTGATGTTATTGTATCTGTTTCTTTTGGTTTTCTGAATAATTTGTCTTTCATTATCATTTCTTCAATTGAAATGATTTTATCTATTAATTCATTCCGTGTTTTACTTAGTGTTTCTTCATCATTATTACATTCTTCTATGATTCTTGACATTTTATTCTTCATTATTTCTATTTGATTGATTGTTTCTTGACTTTTTTCTATCACTATTTTTCTTCTTCTTTCTGTTTCATCAATCCTATCAAATATTCCTTCTCCTCTTTTAATTGCTTCTGAATATGTTTCATTATCTTTTATTTCAAATACTTCATTTTTAATACTTCCTATATAATATTGATAATTCTTAGTAGTATCATCAATTGATTGTTGAATGTTTGGAAGTGTTTCTACTACTTCTTTAATCAGTTTGTTATTCTTGTTAATTAATTCTTCCATTTTATTTGATTTGATATTTATAAGTTCAAAATATTGATGTTTAAATAATTAATCCACGTTATTGACATCAAGTCTGTTATTTTTATAACCATTTTATTTTAAACAAACATCATTCATTTTTATCATTTTTACAATAACAATAAATATATAATAATATTAATAATATCATAATAATAAAATTATAATATTGTTATTTTCTATAATTAGTTTATTTTTAGTATTTTTTCATTTTTTTTAGAAATAACAAAAATATTGAAGAGAAGAAAAATCAATTTTGTTTTATTTTTATTATTTCATCTTTTGTGATTTGAATTTTCATGTTTTATCAACATCACTTCAATCAATTAATTTAATAAAGATAATAAATGATAAATAAACAATATGATAATAAAATAAGAATAAGAAAGAAAAGAGAAAAGAAATGAAATAATTATTATAAATACACAAGGAATAAAAGAAATCAAATAAAATGATAAAATTACATTAAATAACATAATAGAAGAAATAATTAATGTTAAAATGTTAAAATAATCATTATTTAAATATTAAAATATCAATATTGATAATATTTTTGTTTATTGAAGATGAAATAATAAATAATTTAATCATATTTCATTCTTTTATTTTGATTATTTAACAACATTATCACCATCCATTCTAATTAATAATCTATGAATAAAAATATAATCATTGTCACTAAATAAAAAAATAAGTCATTGTTTAATGGAAATTAAAATTTATAATAATAAATATATTTCAAAAATTAGTGTAAAATTATTTATTCATTTTTTAATTCAATCATAACATTACAAATTTATTTTTATTTAATGATGTTTGAATTTCAAACTAATAAACAAAAACAAATTGTCATGTTAAATTATCGATAAATTTATTCGTTTATTTTTAAATATTTTTTTATTTCCTTTTATTTCAAAAATATATATTTTTATGTAAAAATTAAATAAAAACAACAATAATGTTTATGTAACATTCGATAAAATATTTTGTTGTTTTTCATTTAAATAAAATATAATGTGAGGAATATTTAAAAAATGTAGATTTAAAAAATGTAGAATTGCAGTTATTTATTTTAAATGAAAATGAAATGTTTTTTAATAATAAATAACTTCAATTCTTCAAATTGATAAATAAATAATTGACATGTTTAATTGTTATTTAAAACGACTATCAACTAATAACAATCAATGAATATTAAATAAATTAAATTACTTATCCTTTGAAATATAAGTGGTTGAATATTTTGTAAATTCAAAATGAAGAAGAATGTTTTAAAAGAAAATAATA